ATATAATCAGGAACCCCCCAAATAGCACAGGTAATTACTTAGGGCCCTATGTTAGGCCCTGAACCTCCAACTCCAAGCCCCAGACCCCTGAACCCTGACACCGAAGGCGCTGACTTTAAAAAGCCCCCTGCGAGTCGAGATAAGCCCAAAACTCCCAAGTTCAAAAACACAGAACAAAGGCAGGCAGGAAGCAAAATAAAGCCCTGAACCCAGCATTCCCAAACCCTTAAACTCGAAACCTCTAAGCCCTGTAAGGTAGTGTCATTACTAACCATCATATTATGATCAGTATTGTGATTACCGTCATGAGCAGTAGTATTATTGCTAGGATGATTCTGTTCAGTATCTTTCAGAACCCTAAACCTTAAACCGAAAAACCTTGCCGACCTCTGACCACAAGCCTCGCCTGCATTGTCCGAGTGTGGCAGCCGAAACCGAAAAAAGCCCTGAACCCTAAACCCAGAACCCATGCGGAGCCTTGCCGGCCTTGTGCGAGTGTGAGAGTCGAAACCCTGAACCCCGCCATGACCGAGGAGTGTGAGTCCGACGCCAGAAGTGCCTTGCACCAACCCTGAGGTGTTCCTTTCGAAAAGCCTCCGAGGCTTTAGATCTTCGGGTTTCAGCCCTGGGTCCTTCCTTTAGGGTTTGGGGTTTAGGGTTTGGGGGTTTAGGGGTTCGGGCTGCAGACCGGATGCAAAAGGGGTTCGGGGCGACTGAGCGCCCTGGAGAGAGAGAGAGAGAGGGGTTTGGGGAGTTAAGGGTTTCAGGGGTTAGGGGTTTATAGGATTTATAAGGCTAAGGGTTTAGGGAAAGATTTGAGTCCGGTAGGAAAAATGGGTTTAGGGAAGATAGCAGAGGGTTTGGCGCCTAGGCTCCGTCCGACTAGGATGCATAGGTGTCAGACTTGGACGGAAGAGGGTTTGGCGAGGTTTCAAGTTGGCACAAGAACATCCCCTGAACCGAAGCACCCCTGAAAGACTTCGGGTCCATCAGTGCATGGGCACCACCACCCCATCTTCGCTTCCATAGGGGAAGCGCAGTCGAGACAACACGCTTCGCGCCGCACCTACCAGCACAGGCTGCCGTCGAAGGGACCTTAAAAGGAGTACATCTCAAAAAAACCATTGCCATGATCCGGGATTCGTTGTTTGTCTGTTTGTCTGTTTGTCTGTCAGTCTCTGTCTGTCTTCATGCATGCATGGATGCATGTGTGTCTGCATGTATCGATGTATGTATGTATGTATGTATGTATGTATGTATGTATGTAGGCACGCATTGCTTTGGTGCATCTTCCGGTTGCATCTTACAGCCCTCCGATATCATTGTTGAGACGGATGCCGAAGCCTCGCACCGCTTCTTCACCAGCTGGCTGTAGGGCGGCCAGCTTCTCCTAAACCCTAAACCCTAAAACCCTAAAGCCCGAAACCCTAAAACCCTCAAGCCCTACCCTAAAACCCTCAAGCCCTACCCTAAAACCCTAAACCCTAAACCTGAGTTGCGGTGTCTTTCCGATGCTGTGATTTCTCGTTAAACCCTAGCAAGATGCAACCTCGGGTTTCCCGAGTTCCCTCTCGGATTTTCGAGGCCCCTTAAAATAGGGGCCTTAATAACAAGAGCCAATACTATTTTTGGGGGTTCCTTATTACAATGATAGTATAATGGGCCCCAAAACCCTATTCTAATTATGAAGGCCCCTATATTAGTCCGAAGCGCTCAGCACTGAGAAATTGCATCTTTGCCTGATTTGGGGCTCTCGATCTTGATACCTTGTGTGGATAAAGTTTCAGTTTTGAAACTCGACCTATAAGCCCTGAGTTGTATATTATGGATTTTCCGCACAAAACGCCCCTAGGCAGCTACGCCCAAACTACGTGACGGACCCTACCAGCCCTACCATAAGCCCAGAACCCCAGACTCACCCAGCCAACCTTGAAACCCTAAGCATGAAGCCCCAAAGACAGACCGGCAACTCCAAGCAAGGCTTCGGGCAAAGCTGCGGTCACGTCCCAAGAAGAGATCCGCACGCTCAAACTGGTGGCGGCTCAGGGGCAAAGCATGGGATAAAGAGGGGACAAGTTTCCATGGACACGAGATGATGGCTTGGAGGCTAGCAGTCATGTAATTAGTCATTTCAGGATCGGAGAACAGGCATACGAGAGCTCGTCGGCCTTATTCTCCTGACAAAGTCTCGTTTTGCATGCCTTTGTCGAAAGTGTCCACGTGTAGCAACCGTCAGCTAGAATAGCCCTCTAGAAACTGGGCCTGAGTAATTACCGATACGCCTCCTGTGGATGCCTCGTTTCATGCCTTCCAACGCCTGCTGAAACTGCCAGGCCCCTGTATTACTCAAGATGGCCTTCTCAGGTGGCGAACTCCAAGAAGGAGATACTTTACTACAACAAGGCCACCCTGCCTCACATATCATCGAGCCTGGAGGTCGGAAAGATGAGTAAATAACCCAGATCCTTGTAATCCAGATGCAAGTATACGACACATCCCCAAAACCTATTCAGCCCCTATTCTAGTTGTTTAGGCCCCTGTAATATCAAAGCCCGAGCCTGAAGTTGTAAAACTTAAAGACTTAAAGCTAGGGTTTGGGCTTAACTTATCGGGTTACATTGGCCAGTCTTGGAGTAGATGCTTGTAAGATGCGTTGCGCTATAGTCAGCAGCGCTATAGTCAGCACTCTTGCATGGCTCCAGCCGGCTCTTCTTGTGGAGGTCTGAACCCCGAGTAATAGTAACCCCTTGCCAGGTACGGTCCATACCGTCTTATTACAACCCCATCCGTCATCCTTTCGACGGCCCTTTGCAGCGAAGCGTCGCGACTTTGCTCAGAACCATTCGTGTGCTACACAGGATACTGGGTCGCACCCAGTAGCTTTCCCTTCCATACATTCTTCAGTCTTCTTCTGCAAAGTTTCAGCACTACTGTTCCTTGAGTGTTGCCCAAGGCGCTTCAGGTCTCATATAATATATGCTGCAGAACATAGAATATAGAGCATACATGTACATTAACATGTATATACGTACACACATATATGTATATTTATATATATATATATAGATAGATAGATATATATATATAGAGAGAGAGAGAGAGAGATATCTATAGGGCTTGCTCCCCTGCACCACAACCCTGTGGAAAGAAAGATATCTATAGAAATGTATATATATATATATATACATGGATATAGAACATTTATTATATACTTTCACAGAAGTCGCGTGCGCACCTCCAGCAGCCGCAGGTGCTCCTGGAGAAGACGGCCGAGCACCAGCAAGAGCTGCAGGTGGGAGACGGCAGACATCGGCCCGAGTTTGGGATTTGGGGTTTAAGGTTTAGGGGTTAGGGTTTGGGGTAGTTTAGGGTTTAGGGTTCAAGGTTTAGGGATTTGGGGTTTAGGATTTAGGGTTTACGGCTTAGGGTTTAGGGTCCAAGGTTTATGGTTTAGGGTTTAAGGTTTAAGGTTTAGGGTTTAGGATTTCGGATCCCGGAGCCCTAATTCAACCCTATGTGTTTTTTCCATCTTGGGGTTATGGTTTTGTGTTGAGGCTTCCTTCTGCTCTTTGACTCTTTGTTGGAAGGCACAGGTGATCCCCGAGCTTGAAATCGAAGCCTGGAGCCATCAAAAAAAAAACTGCTCGGACCACAAGAATCCGATCGAAACCCATAAGCCCCCTGCCTGCGCCCCCCTTTCCAAGCAAGAGCAGGAACTGAAGGACACCATGGTACAAGAGCGGAAGCGGTGCGAGGAGGTGCATATGCTCGGGGGACCGCGGAAGGAGGGATCCCAAGCCCATTTAGGCCTGGGATGGAGCTGATGTTGCTGATATGCATGCAAACATTGGATTTACAGACTCCAGCCTTTGCCGCTCAAGTCCTAGTTATAACTACCCATGAACCTCCAAGTACAATCGGGTACCTCTGTTTGCATAGCCGCGTCCTTGATGACGATTCGGATCCTGTATTCGTTAGCCAAGAAGGCATTAGATTGTAGGGTATATGCGGTATAGGTATGTTACTCTAAATGTTTAGTCCCTATGAAAATATATACTATAATGCACCCCCCAAGCCTGTTCTAATTTGTGCAGGCCCCTATATCGCTTGCGCACGAGGCAGTTAGCATGGTCCCACCATTTACGGATCCGGATCGAAGCCTTATCGCGCTTTCGAATTTGTTTGATTGTTCTCACAGAGCTCGGACATGAATGAACCTGAGCTCCTCACACCACCTGTCTGTCTGGATCATTGGTAAAAGTGAGCCATCATGTCCCTGCTTTTGCCCACACTTACATGTGTGTGTGTGTGTATGTGTGTATATATATATATATTTATTTGTGTATGTACCTCTCTCTCTGTTCCTATATATATATATATATACTATAAACATATGCACACACACACACACGTGTACATGCAACTTGATATTTGGTGGCCGCAGGACATGAAGCACTGGAAGAAGCATGTCAAGAAGGCCTGGGGCCGTTTGTGACGATGCGCGAAACACCGTGCAACGAAGAGCAACAAAGCGACCAAAGAATAGCCCAGGCCCGAAGGCCCCTAAAAAAGGGGCCTTAATAGTTAGAATAGGGTTTCGGTGTCCATTATACTATAATTATAATAAGGAACCCCCCAAAAATAGAATTGGTGATTATTTAGGCGAGATCAAGCTGTTTAGGATTTCTAAACTTCCGGGGGGGGCTTGGCGGGGCTGAAGTGGTTTCTGCGTTCATTCTTCGAAGCGTACATACCACAGCAAAATACGACACACACTGAGTTCTGAATATTCGTCGTTGTCCTGCGATCGTCTGAAGTACGCAGCCCATCACCAGTGTCATGCTCCATGTACCAAACCAGGAGGTCCTGACCGAGACTAAGCAAGTTCCGAGCACTTGGTTTCAGACCTGTGGCAGTTTTGAATGGCCTCGATCGGCAAGCCAGCAATCGACTGAAGCTGATGCCTGCTGCATGAAAAGGAGCTTGCGAAAGATCCGATTATGACCGTGGCTCTTTGGATGCTTGGCTCCTTTGATAGCTTACCGCCTGGCCTTGTCAAGCTAAGTTTCCTCTGTGGAGCCACAAGAATCCAAGGATGTGGGATCGTGAGCTCACCGCCATGAGGACACGACAGGCCGGGTCCCGGAACCCAGCCCTGCGTGGAGAAGCGAGAAGTTTCGATCTGGGGCTTCCCCCAGAAGCCCATGAACACTGCTGGAGAATCTCAATAGTTCGCGAAATCCAGAAGCCAGCAGTTGAAACTGCAATGCCCCGTCTCAGGGACCCCATCTTTGCCTTGACCCTGCCCGTCCAGAGGCCTTCGACCAGTGGAGGCGGAAATCCAACCAGATCATCAAAGCGCGAGGCATTTCAGGCCGGGGAGTACAGGCTGTACATTATATCAGAACAAGACCAACAATAATGATAACAGTATCTGTTATTAGCATCATGTAATAGTACTAATGTACACCCTATACGCCCTGACTCCCTGAGCAGCAGGCAAGATTGCGACCCTGGTATCCTTGCACCAATGTCTTCGCGACTGGAGAGTGGGCATTCTGGAGCTGCGGGCCGGAACCCCAAGGGAAAGCTGTGGGGTTGTGATCATAATGAGCCTTAAGCCTTAAGTCCTAAACCCTAAATCGAATGACTCGGACACCTATTGCCATGCCTGCAGTTGCGAGTGTGTGAGTCGAAACCGAATGACTTGGGGTTCAGTTTTTGGGTTATCCGGATTAGTAAGTGTGGGGATTAGGGTTAGGGTTTCAGCTGGAAGGGAGTCGACGAGAAATGGGGTTTCATGCGGGTTGAATTTGGCGTGCGTGGCCCTGGCGGGGCTTCGATTCAATGTAGGCCGGTCGAAAGATCGCCAGGGTCGGGTCCAAGAAATTGGGTCTCTGTACTTTGGGGCTCTGCATCATGAACCATATACCTTGATAATATAGCCTCAACCCCAATAATCTATGGTCTATATGGCCCCTACATTGCATCGGGCAACCCTGGTCGTAGCGGTCTTGCTCATCGGACCTCACGACGCTCGCGCAGCTTAGGCTTTGGAACTTGTACTGCTGTCATTGTCATCCTTGAGCACTGTTCTGATTTGTGTTTGTTACTGCTTTTTTGTTGTTATGTTGCTACGTCGTTAAATAGTGAGTAATTATTGTCCTGTTGTATCATTATTACAACTGTTTATTAATCTTATTGTGGTAGTTATCAATATAATTCGCATTTGTTTTGTTACCTTTACGCTGATTACTAGTTACTACTCAAGGCTGAGAAGATGCGCGACCAGCTGCAGCAGCGCTGGTTCCACTCTTTGGACCAGGCGCTCTTAAGCGGTGACGCGGAGACTTGAGGGTTCCTTTTAAGGGTTCCTTAAAGGGTTCTGTACGGGCTACAACGGTTTAGGGTGTAGGGGCCTTATAATATTTATAGGGTCAGAGTCGAGGAGGTGCCTTGGGTTGCGGGTTTTGCGCTGAGTCAGGCACATGAATTTGGGCTTCCTGGTTTTGATGGATCTTTCCTTTGTTCCGCAGGGGTGTCGGTACCGGTCGAAAGGAAGGTGAGGCTATAGGTCTGTGTTCACCTATATACTATATTCGATCTATGCACCTTCACTAGACGCACGGACAGACAGAGGGAGGCAGAGACAGACAGGGAGAAAGACCTACATACATGCACATACATGTACTTGCAGACAGACAGGCAGGCAGGCAGGGAGGCAGACAAACAGACCGACATTCTTACATATGTACATACATTGCCGGCATGTCGTTCATACATACGTACATACATGCATGCATACGTACACTCAGGCATACTTGCATACATGCATTCAGGCATGCATCCATGCATACAGACATCACTAGCGTGTATGTGCATGTGGAGCGACTGCCCCGGATTTTGCTCAGCCTCGAGGCGACGATCGCCTGGGGCCGCGAGTTAGAGCACGGCGACATGTCTCAGACAGCTCAACCGAGAGCAGCGGCTAGCGAGGTGTTCAATCGCATAGTATTCAGGGTGATGGACCTCATATTTGGAGAGGATGTCCGTAACCCTTTTCACGGCGGGTCAATCGGGACAGTGGCCACCCTCGGGCATGGTACGAACCGTGCCGATGGCCCAGACCAGTCATACATACATGTCCTCTACAGGCATCTGACCACACCCCGCCTGAATTAAAGAGTGTGACATGCTGACCGACCGAAGTGAGGCTTGAAGACCTCTGCGTTGGCGGCTTGGGCTTGGCAGACCAGATACACGCACCTCGCCAGGCCAAGGACAGTTCAACATCAGGACTCAGTTTCGGGCCACTCCAAGATTCGTTTGCCGTCGGGGCCGCGGACGCAGAGCCGTAATTGACAAGCAGGAACATTCAGGCCTCAGGCTCTTCTTGAAATCTGGTTCCCGTTAAGGCTTTCTCGTGTTCCGAACCCTGGCCCTCCCACCCACCAAGCTCAAAAGCCCCGCTGTCTCCCTTCAAGAGTACATCTTGGTGACTCCCCCCCCTTAGTTGAGTCTTGCACCCAAGGATGTGGGAGGGGCGAGCACAGATGAAGGTGCGACAGACCCTGCAGCCGCTTGCGGGCAGGAGGATTTTGGGGATCCGACCTGGCCGGGCCTTCTGGCATAGTTCTAACGGTTCCACAAATACTGTGATCTTCCCTAACCCCCCAGGTACTCGTACGCAGTATATAGGGTGCTAGAGCCCCTAGGGTCCTACTATAGTAGGTACCTGGAGGGTTAGGGCTTGGTATTTGAAGAACTCATGGGCCCCGATAGTTTTGGAGTGCTTGTAGCGTTTCGGCAGGACTCAGGTCGAGTTATCAGCCAGGTTTCGGGCACACGTATGGTAAGACATGATTGGGCGCAGTTGGGCTCAGCTCGAGGCGAAAAGGCCACAGTTGAAGTAGAGTAAGCCCAGCAGGGCATCCTTTTCAGATTTGCTGTGGGCCCAAATTGGAAAGTTCCCAGCCAAGACTCATATAGTTCGAGGCGAGATTGGAGAGCTCAACTAGTTCGGGGGAGAACTACCATGGCCACAACAGCTTACAGGCATGCTCGTCGGAAAGCCTGCCCCCAGCAACAAAAATGTGCACAAGATATCCCACGACTTCAACTTGACGTGAACATGCGACTGACTTGGAGCCAAGGAGATGGTTTTACTCCTCGACGCAAGCTGCCCTGCATTTTGCGTTTCGCTCCTGGACAGAGGCACTCACGGAGGCCGGGGCCCAGACGTTCATCAACACTCCAAGCCCTAAACCAAGGTCGAAACCGGTAGTTTCGACTTTTTCTGCGGCTCTTAGCCCCGAGCTCTATGGGTCAATGCTGTTGGGATCGCCTCGCAGAGCTGAGGTGCGTTTGCAAGCCTTCCGCCTGCAGATGCAGGGCAAGCAGGCGGCCTACCACAAGGCCCCGGATTCTGAGGACTAGGTTTAGGTAGGCAGGTAGGCTGGTTGGGTGGTTGACTGGGTTGGTTTGCTGGTAGGTTGGTCTATGTATGTACGAATGTAGTGTATGTACAGTAACGCATGAGGTGTATGTATGTATGTATGTATGTATGTTTGTATGTATGTATGTCTGCATGTATGTAGGTATGTATGTGTGTGTGCATGCAGGCATGGATGTATGTATGTACGTATGTATGTATATGTATGTGTATGTGTATGTGTATGTGTATGTGTATTTGTATGTGTATGTGTATGTGTATGTGTATGTGTATGTGTATGTGTATGTGTATGTGTATGTGTATGTGTGTATGTATGTATGTAT